GCCAGTGAGCCAATCAGGAGATGGAGGGGATGGGGCCGAAATACGAAGAGCAGCGGCTCAGGGGCGGGCCTGCTCGGGTACCTCATAGCAAGCTGTTTGCTATGGGGGCACCTGACAGGAGAGAGGGGTCAGGAAAAGAGGAGGATCCAGGCTGCTCTGTGCAAAAACACTGCACAGAGCAGGTAGGTATAACATGTTATTTTAAGAAAAAAAACAAAACAAGACTTTAGTATCCCTTTAAATAAAGCACAGCAGGGGAAATCTCCGGATTGAGGGTGAATATTGCAGAAAAAGTTTTTATTTTTATCTTGTTAGAAGTACCCTCATTTGTAACACATTTAATTCAATGTGCTGCTAAGGATATAATGGCCAACAAGTAGTTAAATCTCTCAGTAGGAAAAAAAAAAAATTAATAAATTGCTAGCAGTACTTAACCCGGATTATCGTCAGCTGTGTGCAGGAAACATCTCCGCACCCAGTCACAGGTGTTTGTATTCTCTTCTCCGGTATGTATATTTGAAACTGTCAGCAGAAGTGTTTGTACCAAGCTATATGGATTTTAGCTGTAGTAGACAATTATTTATGCATGCTTGTAGTGATCCCACCATTATAATGATTTTTGTATACAGCCATTCTCTTGGGCTGTTTTTTGAAACCAACTTGTGCAGGATAAATTTTTCATACCTTTCTTGGCCTATAGCTTTTTTATGTTCTATGAATATCTAGAGCCGATTCCATCCTTCGCCTTGCCCTTCTGGCTCCCAACTCTTTATATTTATTATGTCTTTTTTTTTGTTAGAGTTTTTCATGGGTAACAAACAATAAGGTATTTGTATTACATTCTTAGCACATGAGAATAGGCAAGTAAATGGCCAGGTAGTCACCAATATCGGAGAAATGTGTCACCGTAGCGAAGGCTTTATATTTTTAGGATTTTTCATTTCATTTGCAGGATTTTCATTTAATTTACAGTGAAGACATCCGCAATAGACAGCAACTTTAAGGTGGAATTAAAAAATGCTGATAGGTGGGATTTTTATGACATAAGAGACCATATTGGCCTCGTCTGTCATAACTGCTTCTTTATGCCTGTCAGCATTAATGAACTCTGAACAGCTCATGTGCAGCTCAGCGTGCATTCACAGCACCCCTCTGTGCCGTGATCATGTGACTATCATTATGGCCTTGCCAATCAAGCAGCCAAAGAGTCCGAATCTGGAAGGAAGAATGGAGGAAGATGGAAGCGCCTATGACAGCCGAGAATGCTGACAATGCAGCACTGGAGGGGATTGCTTGGCAGGTGAGTCTGCAATAATGCGTTTAATATGTTGGGCATACTAGTACATTATTGCATAAAGCTCCTGGGGGATATTTTTAATTTTTTAGAAGGTTTAATGCCACTTTAGGGCTGGATTCACATCCGATCAGGTACATTGTGCTAACGCATGTGCATTAAAGGAAAAGTTCAGCTTTTAGCAAAAAATAATAAATGCACATTTTTTTTGCAGGTAAAAAAATGTGCATTTATTATTTTTTGCACCAAGCAGGACTCCTGAAGACCTGTTAGTGTATCTTTGTGCTCGAACCTCGCACAGACAAGCAGAAACACACTGACAGGAAGAATCCATGAACCACCACAGTGGTAGTTCACTGAGAACTACAACAGCCAAAAAGGCATTCGGAACTTGTAGTTTTCCCGTTCACAGAATACTGTGAATGAGTGATGCTGCTGGGTGGGTGCAGCCCCACATGGCCACTTTTTTTTTTTACTTTTTTTTTTTTTTATTGTACGCCTGTAATTTAGGAATAACTCACTGAAATCTGTTCGAACAAGAGTCTATTAAACATCCCGGGTATGATAAAACTTGAAACACAAAATCATAAAATTATAATTTAATAAATAATCATAAAAAATATAATAAAATTCAATATAATCAAACCAAAAACACTGAAATTTTAAATATAGTGCCAAGTTCGCACATCGCTGAGCAAAGTTGCAGAATCGTTTTCAGTGTCTGACGAATTTCCCCACTAATCATTATCCCTCAATTCTGCAAGTGGTTCTGCAAGTGGTACGATCGCTGTTCTCTAGCTGGTCTAAAACCGATTTTGACATAAAGGGACGCTTTTTGGACGCAATGGACTTTTCTAAGTTTCTAGGCAGAAAGAACAGTCAAAATGCAGGCAGCGGACAGGACAAAGCAGTAGGGACAAAATGTATGTGAAATGCTTTGAAACAGCAATGTTTTACTATGTAATAATCATTTTTAAAAAAATGAAATTTTTTTTCAAATTTGCCGCCGGTTCTGGCGCCCGTACGTCCCGACGTCACAAGAACCGGAACACGGAAGCCGGCATCGGCCGGAGCAAAAGGACAAGGTAAGCGCTGCAGGGACCTCCCTATGCAACGCTGCATGGTAAGCCCGAAAGTAGCTCGGGGTTACCGCTTTTGGTACTGAAACTCTACCCTGAGCTACACTCGGGAATACTGCCAGGGAGGTTAATCTGTATTGTGATTAGGCAACCCATTCAATTAAAAGAGTTGCCATTGCACCAGAATGGAAAAATAATGAATATGCACCATTTTTAGTAAGGCAGCACACCACAGTGCAATGTAGCAAGTTATAGTGCATTGTAGGGTACTGCAACACAGGGGCCCCAAGTCATAGTGCACCAAAGTGTGTTGCGGCATCACACAGCACTGAATCCAGCTTAAAGATGTTATTTTCACTATAGGTGGAGTCTGTTGGGGTTCAGTCCCATATTGGCTTTTAAAATCACTTGGGAATGCCAGCAATGGAATTTCTCTGCAATATTCCCCAGCTCTATTCAATTCACTTTGGTGGATTAGTGCCTGATAACCCTAGGGTTTTCTTGGTCCCCTTGTTGCATGAAACAAAAATGAAAAATCCAACAGGGAGAGAGTGTGTTCCTTTATAATGGCCACAGCAGGTGTTTGATTCAGAAACTGTAACATGCAGAACAGATCCAGTACCGTTAAATCGATAGATTTTGTTACACTTTTTTTTATTTAAATTTTTTATTTATTCATTACACAAACAATATAACACATTAAGACTCAAAAAGATGCATTTCTTAATATATCTATAACCTTCACCCTCCCCAACCCACCTTCTCCCAATACCCCCCTCCCCATCTCCTCTAACTATCTGTAGAGATAATCCCTCCTTAGACCTTTATGACATCTTTAAAACTACCAAGTCTTCTCTAATACAATCTTTGCTCTTAATAATTCTGTATACTTCTCCAAGGTCTTAAATTTCATCCAACCACTCTACAGTTTCCTAAACACCTCGATTTTATTCTCCTCTATACATCTTAATTCCTCCATTCCCGCAATACCCTCCACTCTGTCTATCCAATCCTTGGGACCTTTTTTAGATTTTTTTTTTTTTTTACTCTTTAAGTATTAATTTAGACTTGACTCACACTGCTGCAATGTGATTTGCAGTGCAATTATGTAGTGCAACATTGGTTGCATGTTGGATGTGGTTTGCATATTCTGTTGGGGCCCAAATCGCACTGTAAATTGCATCAAAGTAGCATAGGACCCTTTCCCAAATAGCATTGCATTGCAGCTGCACTGCATTGATGTGCACAAGCACCATTGGAAGAAATGTTATTTCGATTGAAATGGGATTCAGTATGATACAAGTCACATCTGAAATCGCATCAGTGTAAAACAGGCCTTAGGCCTAGTTCAAAATAGTGCAATTTCAAATGTGACGTGAGTCACACAATAGCATGATATGGGATTCAATTATGTAAATTCATATCAATGTGATTAAACACAGAGCGATTTTGGAAAAGGCTTCTGTACTACCTTGGTGTAATTCCAGTGCAACTTTAGCCCCATAGAATATGTAATCCTCATCTAAGTTGTATCCAAGTAGCACAACAGAATTGCACTGAACGTCACACCAAAATCGTATCACAACAGTGTGAAGTAGGCCCTAAGGTGTACTTGGACAAACCTAAATCTATAGGAGGACCACAGATACAGCACTCCACCACCACACACAACCAGCCATATAAATGATTCTACCTGAGCCCCAGCAGACAAAAAAGCTATTCCCTATGCACCCACAACAACCATATGTTACATTTTGTTCCACTTCTAAACTTCTCATATTTGTAATCCAGAGCATCCATATGAACAGTCTGCTTCCCCCTTATCTGTAATGCAGATGATTATGTTTTTATTAGTCTGAACATTTCATTCTCTCATATTTTTTTTTCTGAGGGGGTCAGACTGTTCTCAGAAATCTTATCTGTACAGTCATATGGCAGTAAATTTATTCTCAATTTTTTTAGAATTGATCTATTATAATATTGTGTGACTCAGTTACATGGCAATCTTAGACATGTCTATTAATTTAAATATGACAAAGTATTTAAATTTTGCAATCAAATACTGATTCTAGCCCCATTTTTTGCAAGCTGTACACAACAATCTGTTTCTTAATACATTATATGGTATATCTTGAGCCTCACACTAGAACACTCCATTAAAGCTGGTTCTGTCAGCCTAGTGGTCTCCTGTGGACAGGTGTCTTTAATACAGGTAACAAAATGAGATTAGCAGCACTCCCTTTAAGAGACTGCTTCTAATCTCATCTTGTTACCTGTAGGAAAGACACCTGGTAGCCAGAATTCCTGCTGAATGATGGGGGATCAAATACTTATTTCCCTCATGAACATGCAAATCAGTGCATAATTTGTTAGACATGCATTTCTTTTGAATTTTTTGTTGCTATTCTGTCTCTCAGTGTTACAATACACCTACCATTGGATTTTTAGACTGATTATTTCTTTGTGAGTGGGCAAACATTCAAAATCAGCAGGGGATCAAATACTTATTTACTTCACTGTAGATAGAACAATCTAAAAGTATAATATTCTACTGTTTAACAAAGTTCAACAATATAAAAAAAAAAAAGCAAACCTACAAGAACATAAATGATAAACCAGTACACTCATTAGAACGCTAGCCTCTGAAAAAGCTTCTCCAGCAGTAAAGCAGTCCTCAGATCTCCTATAACTTGTAAGCGGCCTGTTGTATACGCAGTCATAGGACTCAAATCTCCTTTTATGAGATTCATAAGATCAGCTGCTGTCATCTTTAAAGTAACATCAGGGATTCCAGGAAAAACTCCCCAGTCCGCTGTGCCAGACCCTGTAAAAAAAAAGTCTGATTTAAATTTACATAAAAAGAGCTTATAAGGTCAGTTCAACCAAGATATTGTAGTTGTAGGTGGGTTGTGGTGCATTCAAGAGAAAAGAAAAAGGATAAAAGTGCCTCTAAGTGCAGACTCTAGGTTCTTTAATAAAATATAAGAATGCCAAATGGTCACTCACATAGTGATAAAAACACCCCCAAAACATAGGCTCATCACATGATGTCTGGGACACTAGGAATGATGTTCACCACAGTAACTCCAAGGTCCGCTGCTGCAAAGAGTGTTATGTAAAGAAGCTGGCCAGAATCCCCCCAGCCCAAGATGGCACAGGAATCAAGTGTGGCCCTCAAGACTGCAGGATGACATCACCAGGAGAGGACGAGACAGCTAGAACCTGCGGGTTGATGTCACCAGGACAGGGTAGAATGGCTGACAGATGACGTCATCAGGACAGAACGGGAGAGCATGGTGCATTTTCTCTTCCAATGGTTTCTTCTATCCCTTGAGGGCTGATCTACCTGCCATATTTTCCAAGATACTACCTACCTTGCAGTATCTTTTCTCCAGCCACAAAGGGAGGGTTCAGTGTGTTCCTAATCCATCTGTTACTGTTCTACATAATACAGGTGCATCTCAATAAAATAGAAAGATCATCAAAAAGTAAATTTATTTCAGTAATTAAAATTCAAAAAGTGAAACTCATATTATATAGATTCATTACACACAGCGTGCTATATTTCAAGCATTTTTTCTTTTAATTTTGATGATTATAGCTTACATTTAGTGAAACCCAAAAATTCAGTATCTCAGAAAATTAGAATATTGTGAAAAAGTTCAATATTGTAGACTCATGGTGTCACACTCTAATCGGCTAATTAACTCAAAACACCTCTAAATGTTTCCTTTAAATGGTCTCTCAGTCTGGTTCAGTAGGTTACACAATCATGGGGAAGACTGACTTGACAGTTGTCCAAAAGACAGTTATTGACACCCTCCACAAGGAGGGTAAGTCACAAAAGGTTATTACTAAAGAAGCTGGCTGTTCAGAGTGCTGTATCCAAGCAATGTTGAGTGGAAGGAAAAAAAGTGTGGTAGAAAAAGGTGCACAAGCAACATGGATAACCACAGCCTTGAAAGGATGTGAAGCAAAGGCCATTCAAGAATTTGGGGATATTCACAAGGAGTGGACTATAGCTGGTGCCAATGCTTCAAGAGCCACCACACACAGACATATCCAGGACATGGGCTACAACTGTCACATTCCTGGTCTTCCCTGGGCTAAGGAGAAAAAGAACAGGACTGTTGCTCAGTGGTCCAAAGTCTTCTTTTCAGATAAAAGTAAATTTTGCATTTCATTTGGAAATCAAGGCCCCAGATTCTGGAGGAAGAGTGGAGAGGCACAGAATCTAAGTTGCATGAGATCCAGTATGAAGTTTCCACAGTCAGTGATGATTTGGGGAGCCATGTCAGCTCCTGGTGTTGGTCCACTGTGTTTTATGAAGTCAAAAGTCAGCACAGCCCTCTACCAGGAAATTCTAGAGCCCTTAATGTTGACCAGCTTTAAGGAGATGCTGATTTCATTTACACAGGACTTAGCACCTGCCCATACTGCCAAAAGTACCAATACCTGGTTTAATGATCATGGTGTCACTGTGCTTGATTGGCCAGCAAACTCGCCTGACCTAAACCTCATAGAGAATCTGTGGGGTATTGTCAAGAGATAGATGAGAGACAACAGACGCAAACAATGCAGACAAGCTGAAGGCCGCTATCAAAGCAACCTGGGCTTCCATAACACCTTAGTAGTGCCACAGGCTGGTCGCCTCCATGCCATGCCGCATTGATACAGTGATTAATGCAAAAAGAGCACCGACCAAGTATTGAGTGCATACCATACTGTACATGGACATACTTTTCAGTAAGTTAACACTTCTGTATTAAAAATCCTTTTTTATTGGTCTTATGTAATATTCAAAATTTTCAGAGATACTAAATTTTGGGTTTTCACTAGCTGTAAGCCATAATCATCAAAATTAAAAAGAGAAATGCTTGAAATATATCAGTCTGTGTAATGAATCTATAGTATCTCACAGAAGTGAGTACACCCCTCACATTTTTGTAAATATTTTATTGTATCTTTTCATGTGACAACACTGAAAAAATGACAATTTGCTACAATGTAAAGTAGTGAGTGTACAGCTTGTATAACAGTGTAAATTTGCTGTCCCCTCAAAATAACTCAACACACAACCATTAATTTCTTTACCGCTGGCAACAAAAGTGAGTACACCCCTAAGTGAAAATGTCCAAATTGGGCCCAAAGTGTCAATATTTTGTGTGGCCACCATTATTTTCCCGCACTGACTTAACCCTCTTGGGCATGGAGTTCCCCAGAGCTTCACAGGTTGCCACTGGAGTCCTCTTCCACTCCTCCATGACGACATCACGGAGCTGGTGGATGTTAGAGACCTTGTGCTCCTCAACCTTCTGTTTGAGGATGCCCCATCAGACCACAGGACATGGTTCCAGTAATCCATGTCCTTAGTCTGCTTGTCTTCAGCAAACTGTTTGTGGGCTTTCCTCTGCATCATCTTTAGAAGAGGCTTCCTTCTGGGATGACAGCCATGCAGACCAATTTGATGCAGTGTGTCAGTGATCTGAGCACTGACAGGCTGACCCCCCACCCCTTCAACCTTTGAAGCAATGCTGGCAGCACTCATCCATCTATTTCCCAAAGGCAACCTCTGGATATGATGCTGAGCACGTGCACTCAACCTCCTTGGTCAATCATGGCGAGGCCTGTTCTGAGTGGAACCTGTCCTGTTAAACCGTGCTGCAGCTCAGTTTCAGGGTCTTGGCAATATTCTTATAGTCTAGGCCAGGGGTAGGCAACCTGAGAGCCACAGGACTACAAGTTCCATCATGCCTCCGCAAGTCATAGCTGTAACTGTCAGTTTTGTAATCTTTGCAATGCCTCATGATGTAGTTCCACAACAGCTAGAGAGCCGCAGGTTGCCTTCCCCTGGTCTAGGCCATCTTTATGTAGAGCAACAATTTTTTTTTTCAGATCCTCAGAGTTCTTTGCCATGAGGTGCCATGCTGAACTTTCAGTGACCAGTTTGAGAGAGTGAGAGCGATAACACCAAATTTAACACACTTTCTCCCCATTCACACCTGAGACCTTAGAACACAAAGTGTCATTTCTTCAGTGTTGCCACATGAAAAAATATAATAAAATATTTACAAAAATGTGAGGGGTGTACTCACTTCTGTGAGATACTGTATATAATATAGGAGTTTCACTTTTTGAATTGAATTACTGAAATTAACTTTTTTATGATATTCTAATTTATTGAGATGCACCTGTAAAACAAGTTAAAAATCAAGGAAACTGTCAAGCCTATCATATTTGCTTATGTACAATGCCGTCCACAATTACATGCAGGCCAAGCGGTCCAGTGAAAGTGAGATTTATTGGAATAAGTTATAAGGGCCTGTTCACACCAGACCATTGTGGTAATATGCTGTGAAACGTGCACATTACCGTTTTATGTGGTATTGCACCATACATCTTTTGCTGCAGTGCACTTCAACGCACCATGTGCATTGAACAATTTGTCCTGTTTTTTTGTGTTGAAGTTAGTTGTAGCTAATTCATTTTGAACAGGCTGCCTAACACAGTGCATGCAAAGCATGTGCTTTGCAGCATGGCACAGGGCACTATGGTGCAATTGAACCCTAAATGTTTCACGGGGCTTACAACTATTACCTTTTATTTAAAGCTGAAACTTAGTTAAAGTGATTTTAATAGGATCCTATCTATAAATAATAACAAATGTTATATTTACCTGCTCCGTGTAATCGTTTTTCACAGAGCAGACCCGATCCTCTTCTTCTGGGGTCCCCTGCTGGCGCTCCTGGCTCCTCCTGCCTTTGAGTACCCCCCAGCAAGCCAATTGCTATGGGGTTACATGTGCAGGTTTGATCCTGGGCCACACTGTGTGCGTCTATTGTCACACAGTCCGGTTTGGCCCTGCTCCCCACTCTCTCATGGATTTGTTGGTTCCCACTGCTCTCACCAAATCCATTGAGGATAGACAGAGGAAGAAGCTCCACTGCTCTCCTGCACCTGACAAGTTTAAAAACTAATGCAAAGAATGCATTCAGGTAAAAAAAACCTTAGCCTTTACAGCCACGTTAAGATTTTTTTTTTTTTTTTTTTTTTTTGCCTAAACAGCACCCAGTGACATAACTTATATGAAGTGGGTCTTATGTCTGCCTGGCCTCCTGTCCGCCACCTTTTTAGAACTTGTATTATTCTTCCCAAAATACAAAGTGTTCTGTGACTGGGGGTACAGGCAGATGAATGACATAATCTACTTCCTCCAATCACAGAACATTTTGCATTCTGGGAAAGAGTACTATGAGTTCTAGGTATGGAGGAGGTGGGTGGAAAAGGAAGGCAAGAGGTGCAACACTTTCACACTCACAGCGGCTGATGTACTGTGCTGTGCTGGAGGACCTGGTGGCAGTAGGGAGGGATTTCTACACTATGCAGAAGTCAGCCAGACATGGGATTTCATTAAAGGTATTGATGAGCTTGGGCATGTCACCTGTACGGGCCAATAATTCTCTGCCTTGCATCCGCATGTAGACAAGGGGCTGGACAAGCTTGCAGGTTTTGAATCCTAGTCAAAACAGGCCCAAGCTCATCACTGATTACTGGTAAGGTATATCCCTTGTGCTGCATATCAAAAAATAATAATTCAACTTCAGCTGTAAGTTTCAAGCCCTCCTTTTTAACCGCTTCCCTACCGTTCTATAGCAGAAGTACTGCTACAGGGCGGTGGGGATGGGCAAAATCATGTATACATACACATGATTTTGTATTTCCGAGTAGGGGGCATGCGCGCACATGTGAGCGTTCCCTACCCATGCCGCTATTGGCTCCTTGGCATGTCAATCACTGGGTCCCGTCTACAAATTCTCGGCTGGGACTTTGTGATCGTCAGTAAAGCTGACAGGGGAGAGACCTGTGTGTGTAAACAACAAAGGTCTCTCTGCTGTCAGCATGGATATGCTGCTTTGTATCTTTCTACACAGCAGAGAGATACAAAGCAGCATGTCTCCAGGGTAAAAAACACACAGCACACACTTAACCCTTTGATTGCCCCCAGATGTTAACCCCTTCCTGCCCAGTCATTAGTACAGAGTTAGTGCTTTTTATTAGCACTGATCCCTGAATTAGTGTCACTGGGGATGTCAGTGGCAGTTAGTCAGTTCCCACCCAGTGTCAGAATGGCCGCCACAGTCCCGCAATAAGTCGCTGATCACCGCCATTACTAGTAAAATAAATAAATAAAAAGATTTTGGTATATATACCGCCATTTGTAAATGCTATAACTTTCATATAAACCAATTAATTTACACGTATTGGGATTTTGTTCAGCAAAGACATATAGCGGAATACATTTTGGTCTAAATTTATGATGAAATTTGATTTTTTAATTTTTCTATTGGACATTGTTAATAGCAAAAAGTCAAAAATACAGTTTTTTTTTTTTTTTTAATTGTCAATTTTTTAGTTAATAGCGCTAAAAAAAAAAAAAAAAAAAAAAAAAAAAAAAAAACCGCACCGGTGATCAACTACCACCAAAAGAAAGCTCTATTTCTGGAAAAAAAACATAATTTCATTTATCTACAATGTTGCATGACCGCGCAATTGTCGTTTTAAAGTAACGCAGTGCCGTATCGCAAAAAATGGCCTGGTCAGGAAGGGGGTTAAATCCTCTGGAGGGCAAGTAGTTAAAAGAAAACATTGCTGCAAGATTCAAGCATCTTCAAAGCAGTGATATTGTCACTGAGACATAAAACAAAAAAACAGGAAAAAAATATACAAAAATTAAAATATCAGTTGATTGTATTGGCCTTTGAAGAAAACAACAGGTGAATTGAAGATAGATCAGACAATGAAAAAACAAGAATACCAAACAGAACAGCTGTTTAGCTGGAATTCTCATATAATGTATATAAGAAGCATTACCCGATGTGAGGTCGATAAAATAGGAAACATTCTCGCCACTCTTCTTGGTCGCTATCAGCTGATAGGAGGATCCCACTTCAGTGACTAGTGAATCTGAAAGTATCCATCCATCCTCTATCTGGCTAGCAATTACATCTACTGCAAAATCATCGTCTGAAACAGAAAGATATTAATTTTAGTACAATATAATTGGAGTATGACTTTTCATATGCCTATTTAATTATCACCATAAGCCCATGTAAATGAAGTTGAAAGATTTTCAAAATGAAATCCAGGGACACCCAACTGCCACCACACCCGCATTAGTAGCCACACCCACAAAATCATACCCGCATTTTTAACACTCCCTCAAACAATTGGTCACAACATTTTGAGGTTGTATGTTGTATAAATGTTGAAGGATTTGACAGAAAAATGTATTTACCTATCAGCCCTGCTCTTCTCCCTCTTTTCTGTGCAGCTCTTTTGGGGCAACTATATCAAATCTGATTGGTCAGTGCCATCACAATGAATCAGTCTGGTCTGTCCCCAGTACTGCTACATGGAAAAGAGGGAGAAGAGCGGGGATATCCAATCCCCAGATCATTAGACTGGTTGCATGGGTACTGACAGCTCAGCAACCCCAGAGGTAAATACAGTGGGACCGGGTGGGGGGGGGGGGGGGTTTGGGGGATGGGCATATGGTGTTAGTTTATCTTTACACTTTAAGAAACTGTACCTGAGAATGTGGACCTTTGGAATCTCATTAATACGGTAGAAAGACATAATAAGCTTTGGGAGATTTGGCACTCACAGAAGGACCACCCATCTTAGGACCTCTGCGGTCCTTTTTTTTTGGCCCTCTTAGAGCATTCAACACTGGTAGCCCATGAGAGATATGGCTTCTCTCTTTATTTTACCCATCCCAGGTTCTTTTTTCAATTTCCTTGCCGACATGTAATTACTTGTTCTGATATATACTGTACATCGACAGGGTTGACATTGTATTCACGGTTGGTTTTCTATCTGCAATGATCCATGATTTACTAGTCTGCTCTGATCGTGCATATGCTGTCCTAAGGTGACATGTTTTTTTTCCCTCATGTGTACCTTGTGTCAACTCTGCTGAATGCTCTGCAAAGTGTTTGTTTGTTCAAACAGAAAAAACACAATATAAATTATTATAAAAATGAAGAAAGGAAAAAACCTGTACCAAGGAAATATCAAGGCTGACTTTTTCTCCTATTGTACTAGTTCCCTAATATGCTGATACTCTGGCTTCAGTTCTTCCTAAATCCCAGACTCAAACAGATTAGGATTTCTGATGTCACTCAGACTTTATTAATCTGCATTCTTGTGTTTTGGGTTTACCACATAAAGCAACAGCTTCACAAGTCAGGCAATTAGCGTTTCCAGAAGGAGGCTAGTAATGTCAGCCTACATATTTCTTATTACAGGTTTCCTATAAACATCCAGCTGGTCTGCACCCCCAACAATTTACTGTTTATGTATTTTGAAATGAGGCCATCCATGAAGACAAAGTGATAGCAGAGTTGGTTTGCCCAGCCTACTGTCCCTATAACACAGAAAAAGATTAATGCAGGGATAGGAAGATTCCTTGTTGGTACTTGTAAATAAACTGGAAAACCTACCTTTAAGCAGGCCATAAACATTAAAAAATGGTCAGTTTTATTGGCCAGAACATCGAACTATTGCAGCTATTTGCATTGAGGCCTACAGAGGAATGGGAGAGGAATGGTGCAGATACCTCTGCCATTGGTTTTACCTGTCCTATCACTGTATCCATTTCTCTGGATCCATCTTTTCTCCTTAAAGGAAACCTATACTGAGTGGAATATGAATTCTACCACCACTGACCTCCTTTTGAAAATACTAGTTGTCTGTCAGCCATGCTAATCCTTCCACTTCAATAGGTCCAGAGTCAGAGCTGCACAATGCACTCTGTAAATCCAAACTTCCTTATCTAAAAGCAACAGGAAAGCAGCCAAGCAACTAGCATTTTCATAAGGAGATCAACAGCAGCCTCCGTCTTTAAGCAGTTTACCTTTAATTATTTAATATCTGTGGACAAAAAGCACATGGTTTTGTGTTTTCACTCACTGACAAACAGGCTAAGCCTTGGATATGAAGTGGTTAAAGAGCTGTTCCAGTAACTCCATACCTTATCTCACTTGCTATTGATGACACCATCAGAGTATTGCAGGACAATGAAGGTTCCTCATAAATCAGAAAATATAAGGAAACGTTTTTCTGGCCAGAGCGCATGAGAGATAACAGCAGGTCAGTCAATGTCATGGTGAACAGGATGAACATTCATAATTGATGTGTCGACCTTGGCATGATTTGGTACGGTGATGTATTACTCGTGAAATGATAGGGATGCACTCCCTTCCATTAATGTTCCTTTTGAAGTAAATACGGTTACCAATCTGAATTTAAAGGAAAAGTTTACTGACTTTTTCCTGGGAAATAAATGTGAGTTATTATAAAATAACTGTTTGACTAATAGGCCTACCTAAATAGTTTAAAAAAAAAAAAAAAAAAAAAAAAAAAAAAAATGTGGGTATTTATTAAGTTTCCTTTAGGGCCCGTTCAACCAGAACACAGCGCAGGAAGCCAACGTTCTGTGCATGTTCCCAAACCCGCGTTCAAAAAGCACTGGGTGTATGATCTTCTGCGGGTATCAATGTATTTCTAATGACACCTCAAAACGCAGAACACAGTGTTTTTGCCTGCAGTACCATGTGATCTGGTGCTGTGCGTTTTTGAAAAGTAGTGCATGTAATACTTTTGGTGCAATTCTTTGTGATTTCAGCCCATTCAAATTGATGAACTGAAAATTGCACCAAATCACAAGTTCCTGTGCGATTCAGGTTTGAACTGGCCATTAATATACAGTTAGGTTCATATATATTTGGGCACAGACACAATTTTCATACTTTTGGCTCTGTATGCCAGCAGACTAAACTAAAACGAAAAAATCCAACTGAATTTGAAGTGCAGACTTTCAGCTTTAATTTAAGGGGTTGTACAAATTTTAGGAAATGCAACCATTCTTATACACAGTCCCTCCATTTTCAGAGGCTCAAATGTAATTGGACAAATGAATATAATCATAAATAAAATGTTCATTTTTAATATATTGTTGAGATTCCTTTACTGGCAATGACTGCCTGAAGTCTGGAACCCATGGACATTACCAAAGACTGGGTTTCCTCCTTTCTGATGCTTTGCCAGGCTCTAACTGCAGCTGTCTTCAGTTCTTTGTTTGTGTTTTTGTCTTTCTGCCTTTGGTTTTACCTTCAGCAAGTGAAATGCATGCCCAGTTGGGTTGAGATCAGGTGACTGACTTGACCATTGCAGAATATTCCACTTCTTTTCCTTCAAAAGCTCTTGGTTTGCTTTTGCAGCATGTTTTGGATCATTGTCCATCTGTACTGTGAAGACCCGTCCAATCAACTTTTCTACATTTGGCTGAATCTGGGCTGACAGTATATCTCTAAACACTGCAGAATTCATCCGGCTGCTTCTGTCTTCTGTCACATCAATAAACACCAATGACCCAGTGCCACTGGAAGCCATGCACCCTTGGCCAACTCATACACTCTCACGGCTTCAACTACCACCTCTATGCTGAAGACCCTCAAATCTATCTCTCGACCCCTCGCCTCACCCCTTCAGTCTCCGCCCGAATCACACGCCTACTGAACGACATACCAGATTGGATGTCGCTCCACTTCCTTAAACTGAACCTCTCCAAAACCAAGCTCCTAGTCTTCCCCCCAGCCCGCACACCACCCCCCACTGACTTCTCCATCAGGTCCAACAATGCCACCATCAGGCCTGCCCCACAGGCCAGAGTACTTGGTGTCATTCTTGACTCCAATCTATCCTTCCAGCCCCAAGTCCAATCACTAACAAAATCATGCAGACTCCACCTCCGCAACATCGCCAAAATACGCATGTTCCTAACCCCAGAAACCACTAAGCAGCTCATCCACTCCATCATATCGCGACTCGATTACTGCAACTCCCTCCTCACTGGCCTGCTGTCACGATCTGGGTCAGGTTCAGAGACCAGTTGCTACAGCAGTTGTAAGGCTTACCTGAAACCAGCAGGATTGGTACACCAGCGGCCCACCCTGGGAATGACGCAGGCTCACCTGAGGTGCGGGGTCTAAGCATCCACCGGTCTTCCCCAGAGCTCCTAATGGTGGAGATGGATTTGGCTGCATGTGAATGTCAGGTCGCAGATCTCAGGATCACCCCACCAGGGAATGAGTAGGCTGGAAACCAAAAGCGGATCAAACAGTTTAGGGATCAAACAGAAGCGGAGTCAGTCACAAGCCAAGGGTCGGTCACCAATGGTAGTAGATAGGATGAGGCAGAATCGTCGTCAGTAGCAAGCCAAAGGTCGGTAACGTAGATGAAGACAGCAGCAGGAACAGTAAGCGGGATATTGGCTGGTAAGGCACAATAATCTGGCAACCAGGAAGTGCAGAGACATGGCTTTTATAGGAAGTTCATGGGAGGAGCAAGGAGTTCAAGGTTCAAAACAAAACAGGGCAAAGGCAGGATCATCCAAAGAATTTTCAAGGGAGCTGTCCAGCATTCCAGGTAGCTCAGTGAGAAGAAACACTGTGTCTCTCACTGCAGAAGGCCCAGGTTCGATTCCAGGCTCTGACACCTGCCTCGCCACAGGCTATCCCCGCTTCAGTCAATCCTGAATACAGCAGCCAGACTCATCCACCTTACCAACTGCTCCGTTTCCGCCACCCCCCCTCTGCTAATCCCTCCACTGGCTTCCGATTGACCAACAGTTAAAATACAAAATCCTAACACTGATGTACAAAGCTGTCCATCATACTGCCCCAAACTACATCACCGACCTAATATCCAAGTGCCACCCTACACGCACTATCCGCTCCTCAAAAGACCTCCTTCTCTCTAGTTCCTAGTCGACTTCTCCAGGGCGTCGCCTATACTCTGGAACTCCCTACCCCAATCCATCAGACTATCACCTACTCTCCTCTCCTTTAAGTGCACCCTGAAAACCCACCTCTTCAGGGAAGCCTACCCCACCCCCTGCTAATTCCCGACCTCCTCCACTCTTCCTACCACTCCATCCCCCACAGCTATTTCCTCCTGTACCA